ACATTTTGGCTAAAAATAGTTGTCCTTCACAATTCGGATTTTTCTTTTTTTGTGAATGAAAGCAGTATAGGACAACTCCAACTCTGAGAGGAATTGTTGAGAACTTACCTGAAAAACCCAAAAACCAAGCTAGGAATCCCATCCCGTGATTTTGAGAAATAAAAGGGTCCTCCATATGCAATGGGAACAGTCTTCTTTGTATCCAAACAAATGAGATATTGAAATACTATATAAACAGAACAGCAGCAAAAATCATCAATTCAAGTAAAGGTGCAAAGGTGAAAATTTTGCTAGATGCATACGGGAGGGAAAGACTGTAGAAGGAGAGAACAATTTGGGGTAGGGGGTTGGCACAGGTAGGCTTTGGTGGGCTGGCAAAAAGCATCAAACACTTGGTGGAAACTGGCAGATGGAAGAAAAAACTGTCAAGTGGAAATTTGGGGGATAAAAACACAAAATTTTAGTTAGCATCTATTTAATTGTACTGTACCTGCAATTGGTCCTTTTTCTCTTGTAGAATATACCCAGTCTGCACATATTAATCCATTTCAGTACAAAAAGGTGAGATTTGCTTCACATGTTGGCTAAGTATGGGTCCCCTTAACCATCAGCAGTTCACATCTAATAATGCATTAAATAATAAAAAGTAGAAATTTGACTAGCTAGTTAAGAAAATTAAAAGCTGAACACTATCAATCTTATCTTCTCCCTTGCAATAAAAATTGACACATTTTGGCTAAAACTCATCACATGTGCATGGAAGAAATATTAATGTCGTTAACATTATCTTCTCTTCTTCTCTCTCTCTACTCTCCTTTTTCTTTTCTTCCTTTTTTTTTTCTAACTTTCTATTCAAAAGTTATATTAGAATAGCTCCAATTCTGAGAGGAAATGTTGAGAACTTACTTGAAAAACCCAAATACCAAGCCAAGAATCCCTTCCCGTGATTTTGAGAAATCTAAGGGTCATCCATATGCAGTGGGATTAGTTTCCTCTATATACAAACAGATGAGATATGAAAATCCTATATCAATAGAATAGCAGCAAAAATCATCAATTCAATTAAAGGTGCAGAGGCGAAAATTTTGCTAGAGGCATACGGGAGGGAAAGATCGTAGAAGGAGAGTACAATTTGGGGTAGGAGGTTGGCACAAGTAGGCCCTGGTGGGCTGGAAAAAAGCATCGAACACATGGTGAAAACTGGCAGATGGAAGAAAAAAATGTCAAGTGGAAATTTGGGTGATAAAGACACAAATTTATTTAGCATCTATTTAATTGCACTGTACCTGCAATTGGTGCTTTTCCTCTTGTAGAATATACCCAGTTTGCACATATTAATCCATTTCAGTACAAAAAGGTGGGATTTGCTTCACATGTCGGCAAAGTATCGGTCCCCTTAACCATTAGCAGTTCACATCTAATAATGCATTAAATAATAAAATGTCAAAATTCGACTACCTAATTAAGAAAATTCAAAGCTGAAC